ATCTGTGCTACATACATAGCATTTCACAGATGTATTCTCAAAAACACACTTCAAACATTTTTAAATGGATGGAATTGACAATGCAATAAAAATGACTCATTATTTTGAACATATGAAATTATTTTGCCATTTAAATTATACAATTTGAAGAAATATTGTTATTTATCAAAACAATGATGTTCCCTTTTAAGTCTTTAATTATATTTTTTTTACTCAATAAGTCCTTTACAAACATTTCAGCTCAACATAGAGGTGCATGACTCTAATTACAGAACACGGAGTGTGGGTGGGTCCGATCTCAGTGAGTTTGAGGCCAGCTTGTTCCACATAATACATACCTGGCATCAATGGCTACATGGACATATCCTATCTCAAAAAGATCACAAAAGACAAAGACTCCCAAATTATGGAAGTTGTCCTAATGAAATCTGCCCGGATTCAGACTGATTTCGACCAACATTTTAAATATTCCCTCACATAAAAAGAACTGTCTTAACAATGAATATAGGAAGCAATATACAAATTCCATTCACATTCTATCCACTGAATCTTTGACAACCATCTAGAGTGGACTTTATCCTTCAAGTGATGAGAGACAGAAGGAACAGTGTGACTCCTCTCCCTTAAGAATTATGACACATGTGGGACCTGGAGAGTTGTCTCAGGAGTACTGCTCCTCTTGGGTACCCAAGTTTGACTCATAGCACCATATCTGATTGAACAGAACTCCTTGTAATTGGAGGTCCTGAAGATAGGGTACATTCTTCTGGCCTTTTAGGGTACAAAGTGGGCAAATACTGAAAAGACAGATCTGTATTTGATTCTATATTTTAACTAGGCTTTCTTCATGTGTCTGTTACCTTAAAAAGGAATGAAATTCAATTTAGATGTAGGAGTTTGACCAGTGAGTGTAGCAAGTGTATCTCAGGTCCTAGTGATGACCAGAAGACAGTGTCTACTCTCCTCTGACTGGAGGTACAGACAGTTCTGAGTTGTCTTGTGGGTGCTGAGTATCAAAGATTCTCTGGATGAGTCACCAATGTTCTAAGAGCTGAGCCTTGTTTTCAGCCTCATGAACATGTCATTTATAACAGTAAGGTATAAAAGGATGATCTAAGTTCATCTTAACTCATCCTTGGCCCAGAAGAAACAAAGGACTGATAGTATTGGAAACTAACTTTGTCTTTGTTCTTTTTTTTTTTTTTGTCTTTGTTCTTAAAGAATTCCTGAGCCCAAATGTTCCTCAACTGAGGGAAAAGTACAAAACAAATAATCAGGAAACAAGCTGAAAATGTAACTCTTTAAAAGATAGTTGGCAGCCGGGTGATGGTGGCGCACGCCTTTAATCCCAGCACTCGGGAGGCAGAGGCAGGCAGATCTCTGTGAGTTCGAGACCAGCTTGGTTTACAGAGCTAGTTCCAGGACAGGCTCCAAAGCTACAGTGAAACCCTGTCTCGAAAAATCAAAAATAAATAAATAAATAAATAAATAAATAAGATAGTTGGCTATTTAACCAAAGCAATTTGCCATAATTGGAACATAAAGACTGACTTATCAGGTGTACTCTTGCTTGAGTTCATTCTACAAGGTTGTGGATCATTCTTGACTGGCCAGAAAGAACAATCATGTTGTTATCATTTATTGGTGGCACCTACTAATGACAGTAAACACATCACTTTTATATTCAAAGTTTAAAATTTCCTCTTATCCTGACTTTTGTTTATAGACCATAATCAATCATCATGCATTTAAATAACTCAAAATTCTGAACTATCAAGAAATTTGACACAGAATTAAAAATGGGGAAAATACCATTCCGCAGGAGAAGTCAGCAATCATATCTTTGAACACAGAACTTTATGGTAAATTTCTACATGATATAGTGCACAGGAGCAAAGGAGATCAGTGTACTGACTAAGAAAGGACATTTCTGTGAAGGTGTTGAAGGTAATTCCCAGTAATGCTGTCTAGAAATTATTCAAGATGCAGTCATGTCGAATAAAAGACCAAAGGTGGGCTTCAGCCACAAACACATGACCTTAACACCTGAGCATGTCTATCCTGGAGAATCAAGTCAGGGCTCCACACATTCTTTGATTTTTTTTTTATTTGCAGAAATACAGGGGTGTAACCAGCAGGTTCATAACCTAGGCTCTCAGGTCAGCAAGAGAAAGAAGACACCGTATGAGTAAACTTGATGTCTCTTCAAAGAACTGCCTGTTTTCTGCAAATGCTGATTCAGAAACCCATCTGTAACAGGAGGCAAGCCTCTGATCACTGATCTCTAACATAGCCCACCAAAGAAAAGGCAGTTACCGAGAAGCTGCATTTGTCTATGTAGTTTTGTGTTTAGATTCCTTTTCCAAGGTATTTCAGATTTTATCTGAAAATTTTGGCCACACATTGGAATGCCATTTTTATTTTTTTTACTTTAAAAATTATACCTTTAATTATAGAATATTGTTAGGATAATATATCCATAGACAAGACACTAGGATAGCTGACCAATACCAACAGGATCCGCTCTGCACAACCACAGAACACAGGCACAGAGTGTCTGGGTATGTGCAGGAGCAGCCAGGGGCCTGCAAACAGCAGGCATGCAAACAGCATTGGTGAAGTGTGACAGAGGCATGACTTCCACAGAGCTCAGCACTGGGAGTGGGCAGCGGATGACTGCAGGAGGAGGGCACTCAGCTGGTGCAGACAGGTATGGGGAGATGGGAAGACAATCAGAGACCCTCCCTGGCCTTTCATCTACAAGGCAAAAGCAGCAAATGGCACACTAGCAAAACCTTTAGGCTGGAGGTGGCGTTGCAGTGATGGGGGGATAGGGATGGGGTAGGGAAAGGGGTAAAATGAAGTTGGATCAGAGGTGCTGTCTTCTACAAGCTACTCCCAAGCAGACACTTACAATGACTCAACCAAGTCATTGGCTACATAACATATCTGAGTTTAGTTACCAAGAATACATAAGTCACCTAACGGTTAAAATGTGAATACCCACGGCAGGCTAGATGTCGTACAGAATAGAAACCACGTGCCTGCCCCAAGTTCATACTCAAATGGGAGGGGCCACTCAGAGTGCTTTTCATTTGGTTGCTTTTGAGGCTGTCACTAGTGAATGACATGGTAGGTTTCACCCAGCTGCGCTCACAGTGACTCTGTAGTGAAAGCACTAAATGCCAAATCCCAAAGAACTTCAACAAAAAAGTTTTTTTGTTTTTTTCGAGACAGGGACTCTCTGTGTAGCTCTGGCTGTCCTGGAACTCGATCCTGTAAACCAGGCTGGCCTTGAACTCACAGAGATCTGCCAGCCTCTGCCTTCCAAGTGCTGGGATTAAAGGCATGTGCCACCCCCAATCCCCACCCCTGCAAAAAAAAAAAAGGTTTCTTGAAAAAAAACATGTTAACATTTGCAAGTCTGCACTAAGCACCATAAAATGCACTGGGCCCCATCCCCTTCCATCCCCACGGGACAAAGTAAGCACCAATATCCGGGCTACTCATAATTCCTGCCTGGGCTGAGATAAAGAGAACTGAGATACTGGGCGACACTAGGCATCTCTCACTGTAACTCTTTGTACCTGGAGGCGGGAAAGACACTCCTCTTTAGGTTTATTCATTTCTTCTGATGAGGCCAAAGAGGTTTCTTCACAGGAGAAGATAACTCAGTCTGAGAAAGGGCAAAGGACCTAACTGTCCAGTCATTGTCTCACAACTGATGGACACATACGAGCAAGAGTTTAGTTCTGTACAAAACCAAGCCTTACAGGAGAGTGCATGCCTGCACACTAGTGTTCAAATTCTTTCCCATAACACAAGAAAAATAAAGGAATTCTCTCATATGGAGTATGCCTACTGTTCTATCTTATGGTCTACATCACGTAAGAACATGCTGATTCTTAGGAATTCGGTCTCTGCTATTAGAATACACACTTCACTATACATACACGTGCCTTTATGCAAGCTATGATAAAGACTGGGGCGTGGCCCTATCAAACCCTAGAGTTAGCAGTACAAGGGCGAGTGACCTAACTGTTAAAGTTAGATGGCAAAGGACACAGAAAGGACTGTCGCTCCCTGGGAAGGGCTCGGTGCTCCCTTCCCTGAAGGAGTCAACCCACTTCCTACTCCTTCCATCATCACCTGCGGTCCTGTCCTTTCCTAAAGGCAGTTTCCACACTGCCATCTCTAAAGTGATTTCTGAAGACAATTCATAAACCTGATTAATGACAGCATCAATGGGTATCTCTTGCTAAGGTCACCACCATCCAATGGCTCTTGGTCCTCAACCTTGGACCCTTCTCCTTTCACGCTGTATCTTCGTGTAGCTTTCAAAAGCGTGCAAGCTATACACAAGTGAGAAACAAGGGAAATGATTCAGTCACTGCCTTTAGCGTGCAGAATCCTGTGCGCAAGATGGCAAGGTACCAATATGAGCTACTCAAGGAAAAAGCCCTTTGGAAGGGAAGTGCATGAGCCCGGCCACTGCGGTGTGTGAACAGTGGCTACCCAGGACAAGTCCGCCTGCCTTCTGCCAAAGCAGCTGCGGCCACCCTAGTCCAGTTCTACATTCCCACTACAGTCTTTTGGGGCCAAAGATACGAGAGGAAAAAAACAACTTTTTAAAAACCTACTCCATTTCCAGGACTAAGCATCCACCAGCATCTTGTCCTCTGGTCTTCGCTTTCAAGTTACTAGGAATGGGGGCTGCTTCTGATGAAGCGATTCATGTAATAAAATCGGTGAAAAAAACTATTTGGAGAAGGGGAAAACTTCCCCAACGCTGTGGGTCGGAATTTCAAAGGGGTCGTATTCTTCCATGTTTGAAAATGTGGCCAACAATAAGGAAAGTCAGTCTTAAGGAAGCTCACTGATATCAAATCAAATATAACTGTACCTCCACAAGTCATTTCTTACTCAGGAATACAGGACTTAGTCGGTATGTACTCTCTTGTGTTTAATACGAGCTGAGCTCCGGCTGAAACTCTTGTCACACTCGGTACATTCGTAAGGCTTCGCTCCCGTGTGAACTCTTTGATGGGTGATGAGGTTGGAGCTTTGTGTAAACCCCTTTCCACACTGCACACACTCATAGGGCTTCTCTCCCGTGTGTGTCCGCTGGTGCTGGACCAAGTGCGAGATGCGGCTGAAGTTCTCCCTGCACTCGTTGCAGTGGTACGGCTTTTCCCCGGTGTGGGCCCTGTGGTGCTGCACCAGGTCAGAGTTCTGACTGAAGTTCTTCCCGCACTCCTCACACTTGTAGGGCCTCTCCCCCGTGTGCACGCGGTAGTGCTTGATGAGGTCGGAGCGCTCGCTGAAGCCCCGTCCGCACTCTTTACACTCGCACTCTTTACACTCGTAAGGCTTCTCGCTCTTGTGCATCCTCTGGTGCTGAGCCAGGTGCGAGCTCCGGCTGAAGCTTTTCCCGCATTCCTCGCACTCATAGGGCTTCTCCCCGCTGTGGGTCCTCTGGTGCTGGATGAGGTGGCAGAGCCGGCAGAAGCTCTTCCCACACTCGTTACACTTGTGGGGCTTCTCCCTGATGTGGATTGTCTGGTGATGAATGAGGTGAGAGCTCCTCCCAAAGCTCTTCCCGCACCTGTTGCAGTCCTAGGGCCGCTCGCCCGTGTGTGTGTGTTCTCTGATGCTGGATAAGGTGGGAGCTGCGGCTGAAGCTCTTGCCGCATTCGTAGGGTCTGTCTCCCATGTGCGTTTTTTGGTGTCGATTGAGGTCTGAAATCTGACTGAAGGCCTCCCCACACTGAGAACATATGTGATAGCGGATGCCTGTGTGAACTTCTTTGTGGTCCCCACACTGAGAACACATGTGATAGCGGATGCCTGTGTGAACTTCTTTGTGGGCCAGCAGGTCAGTGACCTGCTGGAGAGGGTAGCTGACCCACTCCTCTGCGGTCAGCTCTCCCCACTGTCTTTCAGACCTGTCCCCACTTTCAAAGACTTCTTCGCTTTCCGGGTTCTTCTCAGCATCCCCAATAAGCTCTTCGGACATGGTCACAAACTCCATATCTTCACTAAGCTCTTCTTTCAGATTTGTTTTGTTCTCGCTCCTGATCTCAAAGTCCAGTGAGACAACATTTCTGTAATTCTCCTGCATCACGTCCTTGTAAAGGTCTCTTTGTGTAGGATCCAGAGGTCTCCATTCTTCCCGAGTGAGGTACATAGCCATATCCTCAAATGTCACAGGGGCCTGAAATCACACAATGCTTCCTCGCTACTTAGCATCTAGGAGTTTAGTCCCAGCCTTTCTTCTTGAAATTAGAGACATGGTTAGAAATGTCGAGAAGGCATTGGCATTAAGTCTGATCTGGGACCCAGCCATGAGCAGGGTGGGTGCCATCTCAGGCTCAAACGTTCGTCTCCTGGGAGAGAGAGCAGGAAAAGTAGCTAGTAGACAACACTGAAGGAGAGGAAAAGCAGGGAGCAAGGCGCTGCTAGAGGCCCTGCCCACTCCCTAGGGCTGGAGTTCTGGTGGCCACGTGGTATGCAGGAACCGCCCAGGACCGGTCACTCTCCTCCTTCTCTGACCCCCGAGCAAGACCCTCTATCCCCTGGCTAGGTGCCCCCCCCAACTGGGGGTCAGGGCGATGCTATTAGACAGAGGCTTTCAACCCAGCCCTACAGAACGCCTCTGCTCTTCCAGAATGCCATTTTTAAACTGTCATTTCTTTCCTACATACCAGTTCAAAGTAACTACATCGAGGTTTTTAATAATTGAAAATACTTGACCAATATATCAGGTTTATTACTAACTACCTGTGACATTTTTAAGTTAACACATATTCTCCACATAGTAGAACATTTATTAGCATTACACAATCTAGACATGCTCCCTCTGTCTCAGGCCTATCTGCTGGCCAGTCATTGTTTTATTAAAGCAAATTGAGGGACAATTCTTCAGAGTATACAACAGAATAATCACTCCACCACAGATGTTCCTTGTACATGGGATTTCCTTTGCAAAATATTCAAAACCTGTCATGAAGCTAATATCTTTTTTACATCAGACCTACTCAATAGCCAAGAATGTGTGTGTTACAAATATAAACCAGCATAAATAACCATAGAAAGACACAATCAAAGCTAGCAATGAATTGTATGTACTATTGTATGAATTTGTATGTGCTATTGTACATCTGTGTGTATATGTTTGGGCATTCTGTGTGTATATACTTGTGGAAATATAAGTATGTGATTGTATATATGTGTGTGTATATATTTGGAAGACAGAAGTGAATCTCTTGTATCAGGCCTTTGATTGCTTTGTAACTTTCCAAGTAGACCAGGCTAGCTGACCAACAAGCCCCAGGTACTCATTTGTCTCCATGTCCCTTTCCCATTACTAGTGTTAAAAGTCCTTGTGACCATACCTTTTTTCGTTTTCTCTTCAGCATGGATTCTTGGGCTCAAACTGAGTTCCTTCTTCTCATAAGAAAAGCTCACCTGTCTTTTCAGGCCCTCTCAACTACAGATATTCTGTCAGCATTGTTTAGTTTTGGTTTAGTTTGTCAGATAGTTCCATGTAGCCTTGAGATTGGACTCCAAGTGCTTTATCTCCCTACCTATCTATGTACCTATCAATCTGTCTTTCTAATTTTTTGAGACAGTATCTCAAAGTGGAGCACTCAAATTCTCCTACTCTAGCTAATCAAATACATCCCAGGAATATTCTTATCTGCTTCTTCCCCTGACCTGGTATTACAGGCATAGGCATCCAGAACCTGACATTTTATGTGGGTGCTGGGAACCCAAAATCAGGTATCTAATTCTTGCACTAAGGACTTTAACATCCCCCCATGCCCTACTGTCATCTCCTAGAAAGCAGGTTATGAAAATAGTGTGAACAGATGGATAGATGTTAGATAAAGCGATGACACAGAATGGCTAGCAATTGTGAAGTCTAGCTTTAGTGTTTAGGAGTTCATTGCCATGGTTAGAGTTTGAAAATGAAATGAGCCCATAGTTCGTATGCTTATTGACTTGTTTCCCAGATGATGGCACCATTTGGGGTTAGTATGATCTTTAGAGTATAGTTGGAGGAAGTAGGTCACTGGAAATGTGCCGTGCAAGTTATATATTTCCCTGGCCTTTCCTGTATTCCTTCTTTCTGCTTTCTAGTCCCCATGTCATAAAGAAACTTCTCAGTAACCTTTCCAATCATTGTGAATTTCTGCCTAATGGCACAGGACTAAACAACTGTGAACAGTTGTTCCCAGAAGAACGCCACTATACTGGATCTTCTGCAAGAACAATGAATTGATTAGTACTTTTGTGATTCTGGAGAGGTTTGGATGATGTAGGTTTAGAGCAAAATTATAGTTTATCTTAGATTATCTTTAGTCGCTTTAATAGTTATTTGTCTTAGTGTTCTATTTTCTGTACTAAGGGATTTTAAAGGACTTTTCAACATAGTTATTGATTTTCAATATGCAGAAAGAGCAATTTGCATATTGAAACCACAGAATTTATACTAGATGATGCAGAATTGACTCCATTGTTTCTTCATGTTCAAGATATAATCAGGAATAGGCTTTGTCTTATATATATAGCACACATTAGATCCCATATGGGTCTGTCCGGTCCTCTAGCATAAGGAAATGTAGAAACTGAATAATTATTGTTTGGAAATGTGATGATGACATCATAATTCATGAAAATATCATGTCAATAGCAGGATTGAAAAAGTTCTTTTCTATTACATGGCAACAAGCTGTATAAACAAACACCACTGTGTTTGAGAACTAACAGATGTCATGACTTTATCTTTTTCTACTTTCCATGTATATTAGATTCATGTATGCCTCTTTTAGGGTCCTCATGTTGTCTAGGTTCTCTGGAATTGTGAATTTTAGGCTGGTTTTTCTTCACTTTGTGTCTAAATGTTACTTACGAGTGAGTACATACAATATTTCTTTCTGGGTCTGGGTTACCTCAATCAATATAGTGTTTTCTAGATCCATCCATTTGCCTGCAAATTTCAAGATGTCATTATTTTACTGTGTATTACTCAGTTGTGTAAATGTAGCCCACTTTCCTTGTTCATTCTTGGGTCAAGGGACAAATAAGCATTTTTCACTACCTGCTGCCTAGTGATTTGGATGTAGCACTCTCAGCTCTTTCTTTAGTACCAAGTCTGCGTGCACACAACCATGCTTCCTATTGAAGTGAGAACCCACAAAAGTGTATTTAACAATTTATTCAGGGTTCAAAGGAAAAATAAACTCAGAAATAGAGAACTAGGTAGATGCCACTGTTCTAGATGCTCCTGTCATGTAATTCTCCCAAGAGCTATGATGACCAACAGCCAGGATTGCACCAGCTCTGACTAATAAAGACAGAACATAAACTTCTACTCCCTTTTTTTGGTCACATTTACAGAGAAAAATATACCCATGGTAAGTCATGCCCAATTGTCATAGGTTATCTAAAATATATCTCAGCTTGACTTTGAAAATATACCTAATATAACTACGAGATGGATTATAATTAATGACTACTAATTTATATTTCATGATATTCTAATTAATTGATATAATAACTTTCAAGGCCTACGAATTTGCATTGAATTGTTAAATAAGGTATATAGGTACAATACTTTGATTGAGATTAGAAACAAATATATGTATATATATAATTTTCTAACAAAACAACTGTAAATTTCTATCAATATACAAAAATCCATATCAATATAAACTGAGATTACCCAAGCACCACCAAAAATAGACCATCCAAAGGAAATGCCTAATATTCCAACCACTTTAGATAGGATCATCTGCCAGCACACACTCACCAGGACACCCCTAGGCAAATGTCAACCAATCAGGGGTCCTGAACCTTAGAAACCACTCACCCCCACCTTTACTACTATAAAAACCAAACTCTAACTCAGCTCAGGGCTCTCCAGTTATTCCAATACACTGGACATGCAGAGAGACCGAGTTTGCAAACTTGCATAAAATAAAGGCTCTTTGCTTTTATGTATAGGACTTGATCTCCTTGTTGGCTTGTTGGAGACTTTGCAGATTTGGGTATAACATATTTATGTATTTCAGCATATATATTTACCCACACTTAACAAGGATGAAGTTGGAAGGGAATTGTGGCAGGGATGGAATAAAGAAATAAAAAAAAGTGATGTATTGTCTATTGATTAACAATTTTTAAAGATTAATTATAAATTGAAAAGAGGGGCTAGATAGATGGCTCATCACTGGGTGTTTTCACAGAGGACCCTGATTCCATTCCTGGATCCTGCATGCTAGCTCACCATTTGTTCTGATTCAAGTCCCAGGTATCTCATCCCTTCTCCTGCCCTCTGTAGGTACTGTGCATAGGCACATGCAAGGAAAACACCATATAACTGAAGATTTTTTAAGGTTAGAAAAAAGAAAGAATGAAATTCTCTACAGTGATATCCTGAGCCCGAGACAGACAGCAAGCCAGGTCTAGTTAAAATGGACTCTTTACCTTGCATGGAAGCAGCTGTGGCCTTCTGTCTTGCCACCCTGCTCAGAGCAAAACCAGCTTTGCTCTGAGAGTAACAGAGATCATCATAACCGTTCATCCAGGAGCACCGTATAGAGGGCTTTTAGGTGACTTTTTCTTGAAGTTTTCTGGTTTTGTGTTCTCTATATTTTGTGTCTGTGAGATATATGATGTTGGTACAGTTATCTTTTAGATTGATCATCAAGATTGACAATCAACTTTTCACAATGTCATCTACTTGATTTTCAAGTAAGACCTTATGGTAAAATATGAACATGCCAGAGACATTTCTTTCCTTAACTTGTCCAATTTAGATATGTTCCTGCAAGACTTCGTGGTAAGAATGTCCCTAAATATCTGTTTTTACATTGTAATCATGTTCACTAGTGGATTTGTTAATTTAGCATGCTTAAGAAAAGGGAGAACATTACATGAGTGTGTGCAGACATCCTAAGGAAAATCCCCATTCTTCCTTTGTTGAGGAAAAAAATAACTCCCGTGCACTTTGTGCCTCCTGCAAGAATAATTTTTTCTCATTTCTTTTGTCTTGGCTGTAGAAATGGCTATTTTTGGTAGTCAAACTGACTACCTCTGGAATTAATTAGTACACAAAGAATTAATTATACCTGAGAGAGATTTTACTTAAAGGTTTGAAATGGGAAAATCTTCCACTAATCTGGATAGTTTGAGATAGTAGGACCCACCTTTAGCTGCTTGGTGGCCATGCACACTTTTAACACCATGACTCAGGAGCAAGAGGTGTGGTACCCTCACCCCTTATTATCAAAGGGGAGAGAAGAAATTTCCTAACAGAATGTTTTCTCAGGAAGATAGTGGCCTTTCCCTCTCCCACCTGCAAGATTCCAAGCAGAAGGTCACCTAGGTCAGCCCAGCCAGCCACCTGCTACAGGCTGTTAAAGATGGCCTAACTCAAGGACAGTGGCCTTGCTCTAAGAACAAGGAGAAAGCTGTCTTAACAGAATGGGAGGGAGCAAAAGTCCTTGTACCCATGCTAAGGCAACAGCAAAGATTCTCTTTGTAGTTAAGCCTTTAAAAGCTTACCGCACAGAGGAGATACAACTCCTCTCTACCTTTCTGTAAGGGGGGTGGAGATGAGTACCAAACATGTTTGTATTATGCTGATTAAACCTTGCTTATTACAGTCTGAACCTATCTGGTGGTCTCTCTCTGGTGGTCATAGTCTGGGCACAACAAGAGGCACTGGGATTTTCTGAGTTTGAGACCAGTCTGGCCTACCGAATGAGTTCCACACCTACACAGAAAAATCCTGTCTTGAAATCACCAAAACAAGAAAATCTGAATCAAACAAGACTATGATCTAACTTTAACCTTCTCACCTTCTGGTAGGAGCAGTTACATAGAAAGTATATTGAAGTAGAAAAGTCTCTTTGTTGTCACCTTGCTCTGGCTACCAAGCTCATTCCTTTACTAGTACTAGAGATTACTTCTTTGAAATTTTGGTGAATACTTAAAACCAGTTGAGACATCAAGCCTCATGGGCTGAACAACTACTGGATTCTTTACTTGATCTTTGGGAAAAGGCTGAGAAGCAATCTATGGAATTCTTTAATTGTCATTTATAAGTAGCTATTTTTAGACAACCTGAAACACAGCTTGTGAAACTTTCTAATAAGCCCACTTTTTACATACATGTTGAGATTCATTCTACCAATCCTGTTCATGTAGAGAATCTTGAATACTGCAGTTCCTTCTAGCTCCATTATTCTCTACATATTCACATTTTCATGAACACTACTCTTTTTATTATTATTCATTTTCCTGGAGTTTGCTTCAAATTTCAGTAATAAAACCCATAAAGCAATGGAGCCATCATCCAGCCTTCTGATGGGGGAAAGACCTGTCATCTTGTTTGAGATCTGGCTCCTGCTTTTCTCTTTTCTGTTGTGTGAATCCCTGTGAAAACCATGTAAAATGTACCTTCAGTTCATCTGACCTCAGCATGAAGCCACAAAACAAACATCTCCTTTTGTGACCTTAAAACTCTTTAGCTGTTAATATTCTGGGCATTCTTTCCCCTGTGGGACAGGAAATCCCTGCACTCACCTACCACAGCACAGTGCACTGTACAAGCTAACTGGCCACTTAGTATTCTGGAGGTAAAAGGGAAAGTTCCTGTGGAGTGCAAGATTATGAGGGTGTCAGCTTTTATAGCCAGGGGCAAGTGCTATTGAAATGCATATCTCGGCCAATCAAGAAAAGATCTTTGACTCAGGTGGATGGAATGGCCCGAAATCTCTGTGCTGTCTCTTTAAGTACACTTCAGTCCTGTGGGAGGTGTTCTTGTCACTCAGGCCTCACTAGCCAATCAGGCCCTCCAGGTGACCTGCCAGTCAGACGTTATGCAGGGCTCTTCCGGGCATCCGCATTCAGTCTCGATTTTGCAGAGGAGCTGGCGCCGTTTGTTTTCTGTGTTCCGGTCAAGTTTCTGTGTTCCCCGGTGAAGTTGCTGCTGCAGGGAGTTGATAAACTGAGACGTTTGGAGAGCCGAGAAACCACAACATGGTGAGTGGGGAAATGCTGTCTCCAGGTGAGGTGGAGCAGAGGGTGAGTGCGGAAGACAGTATGGTGCGTCCTCCCGAGATCCGCCTGGGAACCTGCCACCTGATTCTCTGCACTGTGAAGTCCCATGCGGTCCTGTTAATTCCTAGACCTAGGGACAGACCTCTGAATAACTTTGCGCTTTGGGTTTAATCCGCTTAGAGAATTGGGAGCAGGGTGCTCTGTGTACAAACATCTTGTCAACTTCAATACGCCAAAGTCAGGGAAGCCTCGTTTCTTCAGCATCTTCTACATATTGAGCACTTTGCATATAACCTTTATATACAATCTCCATTTAAGTTTAACTATGTGGACGGTATCAAGGCATCTCACCTGTTGGGTAGTGCAGCACTTCTAAAATGCAACGTAGAAGAGGAGAATTGCTGATACAAAGGATTCGCCAATGCCTTGGAAATAGTTCAGTCTCCCAAAGCAGAATTTAGCTGAAGGAGGACTGCCTCTAAATCACCCAAAAGTTAAATGTATTCTAATCAGGGCTGTTAGACTTTAGGATGCTAGGGTACACATTGTTCAACTGGCTTGTTCAGATATTTGGCTCCAAACCATTACAAAGAATCCACTGCTGATTTAAAACCAGACACCAGGCTCATCCCCATATCTCTATCAAGCCTTTCAAGGAGGCATTACAGTTTGGTACCATTAGTGTGTGAAGTGATTTCTCAATGAAAGTTATATTAATTCTTTCATTTCCATCCTGTTAGAAAAATAGTTTCTGAGACAAATGCTCTTATGTTCACTCAGGTGGCCTTGGTCTGTTCTGTCCAGGGCAATGACCTTGCTGTCCTGTATTTTACACTTTAAAAATTCCTACAAAAAATGACTGTGCAACCTCGCCGTTTTAAAATTATGCATGTGAGTCATGTAGTTGACTATGCATTGCAGTTGTAGGGAAAGGATTTGCATGTGGAGCTTTCCTTCTGTCCTCAGACTACAGTAGGAGGAAGAGTTTATTGAAGCTGGTGGAGACACAGTGCAGAAAAGGAGAGGCTGGACTGAGGGTGAAAACTTTTCCCCTTCATAATTAGTTGAGATTAGCTATGTGGAATCAGGTAGTCAACTGTAGATGCTTTATGAATGTCCTGATTGACCATTGTTTGCAGTCCACAGACCAATGCAAAAAGGAAACTGGGTAAGGGAGTGACCTTATCTTTAAACCTAATTGCTATATTTACAGTAGTTCATCTAAAATAGAAGATCTGGGTAAAATGTTGTGGCCCTACTTAACAGGACTTTTCTCTACTAAGACATTGATCATTAGAAAATACATGAGAAATTTTTAATGTGCTCTAATACAAATCCCTAGTCTCTGGAGTACATGACCATAAAGTCTGTCTCACGTTTTCAAAATAGTTTTGAGATGACAACTACATCATATTTACATTCTCCTTGCTGCCTCCAAGCCCTAAGATCCCTGGATTGTTTTCTAATTCCTGGTCTGTTCTTCTTTAACAACAGTTACAAAGTAACCACAGTTACACAGTAACAGTAGTTACTTTATGAATGTGACCTGTTTGTCTGCAGGGTTTCCCATCTCTGAGGCAATGGGATGTCTGCACTGGAAAGTGAGTATGTAATGGAATGTGCACACAGAGGACCCTGTGCTTTGGATGAGGAACAGGATGTGCTCTAGTAGAGTGGGAAAATGTGTACTAAATACAAATTGTCTAAACTGGGGCCCTGTCTGCTGGGCTGGGAAGGCAGCACTGGAAGGATTGTACTGTTGAGTCATTTGCTTTCTGATCCTCCTGTAGAGGAGCTGCTAATATTGAGAAGCCCAGCTGGGTGGCCCTAGCTAGTGAGGGATTCTGGGAAGGGTTAGAAATCAAGAGTACTAGTGGCAGACAGTTTGTGAGGTTTTTTTTTCAGGATTCTCTTCTGTCTCTGCTCTAGGAGGTGGTAAGGAAGACCATAAGCAATCCCGTAATGGTGGGGGGATGGTGTTCAGAGCAGGTGTGTTGAAATGTCATTTCTGCTGAGACTTGGAAGTACCATGAGCTAGATTGCAGTTATGTTGGTCCATGTGGTTCATGTTGGTAGTGGCCCTTGTTCTCTGAGCCTCTTTGTGTATAGAAATACTGCAGCCCTGGAATGGAAGGAAATGGTGCTGGTTGTATCTCTGTCCAGAGTACACACATGGGCACTGCTTTTGTTGTACAGTGGGAAGAGAGATTAGAAACCTGAAGGTTTAGTTTATGAAGTTCTGAATATTGCATTCTAATTTCAGGTTTGTGTTATAAAGATTACAAATTGTTTAGGACCTGGTAGAGTAATAGTAGAGTAGAGTGCTTTTAACATGGTGTTACCACTAGCTGCAATGGTGTGATCCAGTGAAGCTTAGTTCCAGGGGACAAAAGGAGTTTCGGATGTGCACAGATTTCTCAGGTGTGCAGTGCGTTAGACAGGTAGATAGGGCACAATCCACATATTCTGCTCTATGCCATGTAGCAGGAAGCAGATTTTAAACCATTTTTAGGTTGTTTTGGGATTGAAAAAGATTAATTAGATTAACACTTCATCAGGCATCTTAAAAATATATGCTCAGTTAACAGAAAGGAGGAATTAAGACCACAGAAATAGGTTACAGAATAGATTATTAACTTTAAAATTTTTAAATGCTAGGAAAAAGGAAATAATAGCTGTGGGGAGATATTAGATAATAAAAAAGCCCTGCTAAATTAAGTCAACCTGTATGCTTTAAAGATACATTGCATTCAGAATAAACACCAAGATATGTATTAAATTGGGGAATAAAGTTATAGAGACCACTTCAATCCTTAAAGATTAGCTTCAAACAAAAAGATCTCTTGAGTAAAAGAGACAATAGTTCATCAGAGGCATTACCATTCAATCTTAACTAATATGTAAGATTAACAGATGTTTTCCTTTTGATTAAATATAATTTCCAACAATAAATCTTCATAAAGTTAGGATGAAGGCAGAGTTTTGTTTTGTCTTTACAAAAGTATGAAAACATAAAACTAAGGAATCTAAAAACCACTAGACAGCTGAGATATCTAAAAATAACACATCATCCAAATAAAATATCCTTGTCCAAAGGAATAAATTGGCCTAACACTCACTTTTTATAATCATGTTAGTTGTGTTTTCAAGGTGAAACAAAAAGACATTTTTTTCCTTTTTTTTTTTTTAAGACAGATTCCTCTGTGTTGCTCTGGCTTTTCTGGAACTCACTTTTCAGGATAGGCTGGTCTCTAACTTAGTGAGATATATCTGCTTCTGCTATGAAAGTGCTGGGATTAATGGCATTGACCAGTACAACCTGGCAAAAATTCATTTTAAATAGACAGGAGGTGTTGTTTTTTATTTTAAATGTTGTTTGCTTTATACTTTCTGTTTACTCAGGTAATATTATATCCTTCTGAGTTCTCTGATGGAGCTACAGACTCTATAATTGTAATTATGCATGTTAACAAATTCAAAAAAATGAACTAAAAATGTATAAAGTATACAAGGCTAAAAGACATAGAAAGATTATTTAAGGTCAGTAATACCAGTTAGGATAAAAAGTAATTTATGTACAACACCTTGGGCTTACTAAGATAGGATAGATGATCAAACATTTTCTCTAAATTTACCAAATGCAAATGGATTGGACATTGTTAGTATAATTCTTCCCTGTATATATTATATATAGTTAATGTATTTAGTGTATATGGCTTTACTGTGTTAGTTAAAACCTTCATTTTTTAATTAGACAAATAGGGAAATGTATGATATTTTGATTATATTCTGATAATAAAGCTTGCTTAGCATTACAGCAGAGCTAATCACTACCTGACCAAAATTTACCATAGAGGTTTGGAGGACTTAGGCAGGCCTAAGAGAATATTAGCACTTTACTAACATTGAGAAATTGAAGAGGTGGTAGTCACAATTTGCTGGTTAACTGCTTATCTGATATTTCAGTTTCTTACCCTGCTCTCTGACTCCTGATTTCTTATTGTTAAATGTTAATTAGATTAATGCTTCAGCATGGATAGAACTTTCTAAGCCCTTTGGAAATAAAGCCCATATACCTGAGATAGAGCCACAAGATTTGTCATTTGCCCTGCTAAGTTTTCATCTTTCCTTGACCCAATCTTACCTCAGTTTCCCTCATGCCTCTCTTTCATTTGTCTTTTATTTATTCTTCTTTCATCTTGACTGCAGTGTTTCCTCCCACCATTGCTCTCTGTCCCAACCTTCCCCCAAATCTCTCTTCTTTGTTTAACTTTAGAGAAGAGCAGGTCTCTCATACATATCAACCGAATGTGGTGTCTTAATTAGGGTTTCTGTTGTTGTGATGAAACATGATGACCAAAATGCAAGATTGGGAGAAAAGAGATAATTTGGCTTATACTGCCATATTGTTGTTCACTATTAAAGGATGTCATGGTAGGAACTTAAAGTGGGCAGGATCCTGAATAGATTTTTGTATGTTGAACCATCCTTGCATCTCTGAGATGAAGCTGACTTCAACATGATAGATGATTTCTTTTTTTTTTTTTTTTTTTTTTTTGGTTTTTTGAGACAGGGTTTCTCTGTGGCTTTGGAGCCTGTCCTGGAACTAGCTCTGTAGACCAGGCTGGTCTCGAACTCACAGAGATCCGCCTGCCTCTGCCTCCCGAGTGCTGGGATTAAAGGCGTGCGCCGCCACTGCCCGGCTGATAGATAATTTTTTTGATGTGTTCTTGGACTTGATTTGCTAGTATTTTATAGAGTATTTTTGCATGTATGTTCATCAGTGAGATGGGTCTGGAATTCTCCTTGTTTGAATCTTTGTGTGGTTTGGTATAAGGGTAACTGTAGCTTCATAAAAGGAGTTTGACAATCTTACTTCTGTTTCTATTATGTGGAACCCTTTGAAGAGTATAGTTATTACTTCTTGGTTCTGACAGAATTTTGAACTGAAACTGTCTTTCCATGGGCTTTTTTTGGTTGGA